GTATATATTATTCAGGACTTTTTCATGTTTTACCTTTTAGAGAACTGTGGCAAGACTGTCAAATTCCAAGCATTAATGATCTGATTTGCATTTTTTGTAGATTTATGAGCTTGTACATACAGATGATGTGTGTGCATTTGAACTCAAGTATATCCAGAGGGATCTTAAAACAACCAATACCTTTGAGTTGCTTAATTAGATCATACAAGGTCATGTTTCATTGACTTGAAAATCTGTTTGGAGCATATGACTCACTTTGGAATTGGAAAACAAATTAATTTTCAGTCCTACAAACACTTAAGGGCTTTAAAACTGTGCTTGCTGTTGATGAGCACATCCATTGAGATATGTATGCTGTGTCTAGCCTCCCCTAAAAGGGATTTTCTACTTTGTCTCTTATTGGCTGCTTCCGATTTGTTTTAACTGAGGTAGGCAAGCAGAGCGACTGTGCTGTCTAGTGTGAAACAGCTACTGCCCTGGAAACCGTGCTTTGAAAAATGGCAGTCATTTGCAAGATTTTCTAATTTTGTTAAAACCAGTGTGAATCTCTGCAACATACAAAAATGACTGTATTTACACAACTTCACTGTCAGTCCATATTGAAACAAACTGAAAAAGCCAGTAAGCTAGAAAATCATAGTTTTAATGGGGCTTATACAGCTTAACTGAGAATTGAGACCCAAAAATAGAAAAATAGAACATACGAATGTGTGAACACACGTAACATGTTTTTGTTGCATGTATTTTGAGCTGTGCGTAGCATAGCTGTATAAATAGCATGAATATGATCTGTATTTATGCTGTGTAAAATTACACTTCTCTATTCCTACAGTATATATTTGTATATAATTTATTATCACTTTAAATACAGGGGGGAAAAAGTCTTCTACCCTGAACTATTCACTTCTACAATGTATTTTTTAAAGCAATTACTCTACCTAGTGTGTGTTTTCTTTCCTGCGCAAATAGCTGTGACTTGCTATAGAGCAGATGTAGCTGCAAAAGACCTTAGACTTTGGACTGTGATCTTTCAGTCCAGTTCTTTATCAATGGGAATGACAGATCTTGCCTCTATTCACTTCAGCAGCAGCATTCATTTCATTCCCTACAATCTAAGTTCTTTTACAGTATGAAAACTCATCTAAACAATGGCTTTGTTTACCTAAGGTGTCATATGTTTAATGCATCTTGAAGCTGGGAAGCATGAGACCCAAACTAGTTTCACTTTGGCTAGGACATATAACGACGCCAATGGCAATGGGATAGCCTGGACTTCAGCTGAGATTGCGTGTGCTTGCTATGGTGTGCTGGATGTCTTATTGGGGGATTTCCTGGGTAAGTTTTAGACAAATAGCTACATTAAATCTATTTTTTATATGTCTTTATGTGCTGCAGTTAACTTCTGTAGCCGTGGAGACATGTTCACAGTCCAGCATTTAAACAGTTTATTTATTACTATAGGTAGTGATTTATCATGTTGTTCTGGCCCCACAAACAGGCCTAATGACAGATTCTGAACTCTCTCTGTTAAGAAAAAACAGTGCCCATAGGACTGACTACAGCCATAATTGTATTGATTATTATGATTTTCTGTAATAATGCCTTGTTTTAACACAGCCAGACTCAAAGAATTACAACAGTGGGAGAGCAATCTGAATCAGTTCCACCAAATCTATTTCTAGCAGTTAATTATTAGCATAAATTAGCTGTCTATACTAGGCTTTTTTTCTTCTCTCTGAGATTGTTTATTGAAAATGCAAAGTTCATTATCAGCCAGAGAAAGAGTGGTTAATCTGGTTCTCCTTACACAATCAGCAGAAGTCCTTCTCTAATTTAATTCAAAATCATTTCTTTTAAAGGGCCCAGCACTCAGGTGATCAGTAAAAGGTTAGCTTAACTTTGAAATTCTCCTTGAACCAGAAAATGTCAGCCCAGGTACCTAAACAAGAGGCAGATTCTGCTTTATTATAGTCACCTCAGAGTTTATTTCAAACGGTGCAAATGAGCAGACATAAAAATACAAGGCTTTATCACTTTTCATCCTATTAGCAAACAGTGAATAATTAAGAGCTAGATGCTACAGGGAATAATTCATGTAAGAGCTTTTATGTAGTATATCACATAAAATTAATTTTGGTGCTCGCTTTACCAGCTTATTTTTATTACTTAGTGTCTAAACATACTCTTTATGTCCTAGAAGAGACCTTAGACCTGGGACTCATCAGTGACAATTAATTGCCAATGAGCTAGAAAACTGAGTACAATACAACAATGGCATGAAAGTGATTTTTTTAATTATTGTTATTTTTTAACAATTAAAATTGGAATTCTATATATGTACGCATTTCTGTATACAAAGTTGGAAGAGCTGTGCTGCCAGAGAGATCTCAACAGGCTGGAGGAATAGGCAACCTTCATGAATCTCATGAAGTTCTGCAAGCGGATTTGCAAAGCCCTGTACCTTGGGACAAATAACCCCATCCTCTGGGGACCAGATGGCTGGAAAGCAGCTTTGCCATGGTGGTGAACAAGCTGGACATGAGCCATCAGCGCGCCCTTGCAGCAAAGAGGTCCAACAGCCTTCTGGGCTGTATTAAGAAGCATGCTGCTTGTTGTCAGGAGGTCAAGGGAGGTGACTCTTCACCTCTACTCAGCACAATAAAACCACATGAGGACCATGTCTGGGCTCCTCAGGTACAAGAAAGAAGTGAACGTACTGGAGCAGGTCCAACAACGGGCCATGAAGATAATGAAGGGTTTGGAAAATCAGGAGAAGCTGAGAGCTGGGGTTGCTCAGAAGTTGAAATGAATTTGAAATGAAATTGTAAAGGCAGGCAGTAATATTTCAAAGAAAAAAACTCCACATTTAAACTTCTCTCCGATTCACCCTTCCTTCCCCTTTAAGAGCCATGTATTGCCTGATCTGCAAACATGATTGCTCTCATGCGTGCAATTCTTCTTAAGACCTGATCACTTAACTATGAGGCTCAGCTGTAGAGATACCCTGCTCTTAAATATAAAATGCTGTATGTTAAATATCCTTTATAACAGGTAAAGGTGGGAAATCTGAGACTTGTACTGTAAAAGTTAAGAATATTCGGATTCTTTACTCTGTTCCTCCTGTACATAGGCTTGGCGGTGTTAATTCAAGAAGGTTTAGAAGATTGTGTGTACATGACAGCCCTGAGGATTTCCATCATTGTGATTTTCCTTCTACTCTTTTCACTTCTTTTTGAAAAGCATAATGACCTATGACAACTAAGCTTTACCCTCAGTGGAGTCTGACATTTCTTCTGTTTAATGGATCAGACAGTTTGTGATACATCAGTACTTTCTTCCCTACGTCAACCTCAGGTATCCCTTCAATATTTCCCATCTGTGCTGACCTGTGTGATCAAGAGGTCATGTCCTGAAGTGAAACCCAGAATCAAAACACTCACTTCTACCACGGCCCAGACTATTAATGTAACCCATTTAATTTATATCAAGTTGGAACTTGACATTCAATTTCTCAGTCCAGAAGCAATTATTTTTAAAGGAACATGCCAACAATATTGCTTGGCTTAGAATAGCAAAAGTTCAAAAGGGTAAAAAACATTTCACACCATAAATAAAGAATTGATTATACTTGAAAACAAAGTTTGTAATTACTACTGACATTTCTGAGCCTAGATGAGGTGCTTTTTATGCTTTAAAAACTGATTTCATTTATGCCACTGGCATTATGGGAACCTTATGTAAGGGTCTACAATAGTCCTTTGCTGGTATTTTAAGAGTCAAGAGGAAAACAAGAGTATTTTGCACAATGCTTGGGTCAAACATTTTTTGTTAAGCAGGCGTGCAAAATTCACTGTGGATGCTCAGTCTTTAGCAGGACTGGAATTCCTCTGCTTCCTTTCACCCCAATAGCTCCACCAGCAGGCCACTGAAATAGTCAGTAAAACCCAATACTTTGGGATGGAAAATGGTGTTATTCTTATATGAAAGCCAAGCCTCCAAGGCGCTAACAGATTTTTAAGTAGAAATAGCCGTTATCTGGATCATCAAATCATTCTTTTGTACTTAAAACTGTAGTGCTTGTTTTTCCCATAGCTCTTTCAGCCCTGAGTGGTCCTTGCATGACTGGCCAAAGACCAATATCCCTGAGCTCCTCATGGACGATTCTGTTAATCAAACAGTGGTGCAAAAGCTAAAAAATGATGTTAAGAATTTGGGCTAGCAAACATTGTTCATCACAAAACCTTTGAGAAATAGCATCTTGCAGTTCAGATGGTGCTGAAATATCAGCTAAAACTAGATTTTTCTAACGTGTAGCAGACGATATACATTGACAATGTTGCATGCTCCCTCTACTGGCTAATAGGTGCAGAAGGAGTACAGAGAACTTTTAATTCTCTTAAGCGTTTATATCTTTCAGAGCCCCGCTGGTACCAGAATGCTGATGCTAGTTCAAGCAAATTGCACATTTTCACATATTAGGGCAGCTTATACTTTTTCTGGAGGTGTAATACGAATAGAATTTTACCAAGTAAAGCCCTTTACCAAGGATGAACAAGAATGTTACCCCACTGTTGTGGCTTATTTGGGGAAGTTTATATGTGAGAAAGGGTATTTATTTCAAAGGAATATTAAAATCTGTGATCATGAAAACAGAGTAGCTAAACTACATAAAAACTGTAACCTCTACAAGAATCAAGTGATGAATGGCATTATACCATTCATTTTGATGCCATAGCAAGATAGCAGCCTGCATACTTTCATCTTAAGTAACTTTACTCATGCATCTTGACTTCTTACCTGAATATAGGCCAATATTGCTTTCATAAAAAATATATACAGGTTTGGCATGCAAACATCACACATGTCCTACTGTCAGAGCCATGCAATTAAAATAATTAATTAGTAATGAAGAATGACATAAACTCTGCTTATTAACAAGCTTATGCATGGCATACCACAAATCTCGCAGAAAGAAATAAAGACAAATCTTTCATTCTTACCACAAAACAATCCAGCCAGAAAACTGTGCACTTCAAAATAGAAAAGATGAAAGTTGTAGACCTTTCTAATGGGTGATCAAAGAAAGGCTTCCTATTAGCAGACCAAAAAGGTACCCTGAAGCAGCTATTATGTATGTGCTTATATATAAGTGTATTAACGCATATGTATGTGTGTACACACTCTTAGACATACGTGCATATGGTTCAGAACTACTTGTCCATGTGTTATTTCTGACTGAACTCCTTCAGCTTCTGCAGTGCCACTTCTAAGTTCCTCTGTTACTGGGGGAAAAGAGAATGCCTCTTAAATGTTTGTTTGTTTGGTTGTATAATTTACTGTATTTCCAGTAAACTGTATTTTAATGGGGTTCACAATGGTAAGATTATTAAGGCTGTTTTCAAAATCATCTGTTGAGTAAAGCATTAAACTATTAAATTGGGTCATTTTGTTTATCACTTGACTTTTGACCTTAAATATTCCATAAATTAGAATGCATTGAGGAAGTGTAATATATTAGTCCCATAACACAGGTCTTCTCTTTACTGTCTACTTGTTAAGTACTTCATCCAGATTAATGAAAAATGTACAATGTGTAGATTTAAAGAAAGTTCATTTCTGTTTGGGGAAAAGTTGTGCATCTGCTTGACTTTGCCATTTGGCTGTAAATCGACCAGAATGATGTAGGCTTATGCAATACAATGCTCAAAAGCATATGCTGTAAAGTAGCTCCTGAGATGGTCAATCAAATTCTTAAGGAGATGAGCAAAGTTCTGCTGTCAGTTTAGTATGTGCGATAGCTTTGATTTCTCCAGGGTTTGTGTATGGTTATCGCTTAGACCACACTTTAAACTTTGCTTTCACTAGTGGTTGTCTTTGCCACTGAGTGAACGTGTATATGCAAGAAAAGCATATAGGAAACATACTGGATTATGCGTAATGCCAGGGTGTGCTAGCCATGTAGAATTTACATCAGAATATATATCAGGAGGTGCATAGCATTTTCTGTTTATATAAGGGAGATGAAGATTACTAGTTTTTCAACAACAGGAAGAGTAATGCAAAATGAGTCTTCTGTTTGGATCCAGCATGCTGCTGGGCTGACAAACCAAGCAAGAAATTAAAAGGCCAGAGAGATTCTTCAATAGGCAAAGATGGAACTGAGCGGGTTCATGAGCTCAACCAAGAGGTGATAAAACTGGGTTGTAGGAGACTATAAGTATCTGAGGCATGCCAATTAAAAAGGCTAGGAAAAGTTTATTCACAGTATTAAGAAAGAAATCAAAAAGGTAAGTAGACAGAGCCTGAAGAGAGCCCCAGAAGTAAAATTCTTACTGCATATTTAGACTAGTTTTAACAAGTAGTCGATCATATGAGGGAATGACCCACCAGGAATATTTGACAGGAAAATAATAGATGCTTGAAAAGCGTTATTCTTGCTGCCAAATAATAAACAACTGTCTTTTTTTATTATTATTTTTCCCCGTTTTTTTAAGCACTTTCTGACAGGCACTGGACTTACAGATTCCTTAAATCTTAGGACATTATCTGCCTGTGTCTTGCAAGATGGATTGAAAGCCATTCATCCCCTCCTCCTTCCCTTCAAGGATAAAAGCTTTTCATGCTAAAAAGTGTGTGCAACATGGTTTAACACAGAGAGATGTGCCAGATTCAAAATATCCACTGCTTGCAGGCTCTGTCAATCACAGAGGACTACATTGTACAACTTAACATATCAGTGTAACTAGGGTAAATACATCATAGTAATGATGGGTCAGCTGTCAGATTTTAAAGCATAAGAATCTATATATGTTTTGAAAATAATATTGGTAGATGCTTCCTACTGTTTTAATCTCATATATTTATAACTCAAAAAAAAACCCAAACAACTTTACATTTGGGCATTTTCTGGTGCTGAATAATGCAGTAGTCATGTCTGTGGCTTCTGTGTTTTCAGTGAAACTTGCACCAAGAAGAGGAGAGATAATTTTCATGTAATGCATATTTTTCATAAAAAAAATATATATAAATATATTAGGGCCTCAAGTATAATTTTCAGGGTTGAAAACAGATTTTCAGGTCCGGGGGTTAATTCTGTAAAGCATTGCCATGGAAAGCCCAAGGGCTCCTTTCTTAATGATCATGGTTCAGCTTTCACAAAATTTTAATGTAGATTGTCACTGTCAGTAAAAGTCATCTTCTGTCAAAAGGTTCCCTTGCACAATAGGAATAATAGAGACAAGCTGAAGTTTTCAATAAATTCAAATTTTATTTCATTAAAAGGAGTCCGCTGCATAGTTAGTGCACTGCTTGGTTCATATTTTGTACCTAGGATCTGAAATTGTATCAGTCTCTACTTGGAGTACATTAAATAAGGTAATTGGATCTGGTAATGTTGTACAAATACATGGGCTGTTGCGAGACTCCACTCTTCAAAAGGTAATGTCATACCTCATCATCATACTGGACTTTAATCTTCGGTCTTTCTGAAGAGGGGAAAAGACATACTTCACAGTGGCGATATGTAACTGAATTTGCTTGTTTTCATGAAATGGTCAGATTTTAGTGAATCGAAACCCAAACTGCAGAATATTGTGGTACATACAGAAAGATTATCAAGTTGTAGCAATATTGGTTACAGATACATGCTGCTGTTTTCTGAAGTGCTCCCACTAAATCATAATTGCTTAGTGATAAACACTAGGTAACCATTACAACTGGAATTGGTGCATTTAAACAACTGCTCTTGCATGCAGGGAGGCAAACTAAGTCATAAGATTAATTTTTGCAAAAAATGCTATTAGGATCTCACAAAGTATCGCAAGATATAAGCTGTAAAGGAAAGAGCTGCCACAAATAACTCAAGCCAGTATTAGCTGCTGTGGTGATTTATGTGGCTGAAGAATGTAAAAATTACACTTTCTTGCACTAAATGGTGTTTCTTACAGTGGTTGAAGAGGAGCACTACCTGCAGTAGAAGTTAAATAGAAATGTCCCATCGTTCTGTAATGGAAACTGATACAGGAATGACAAATTCATGAATTTTTCCAGATACAGCCTAATGGCAGTTCTTCCATCAGTGTTCTGAGGTATGCTTCCTTCAGAAGACAAGGGGTAATGGGTTAAAACTTAAACAGGGGAAGTTTAGATTGGATATTAGGAGGAAATTCTTTCCTGATAGGGTGGTGAGACACTGGAATGGGTTGCCCAGGGAGGTTGTGAATGCTCCATCCCTGGCGGTGTTCAAAACCAGGTTGGACAAGCCTTTGGTTTAGTGTGAGGTGTCCCTGCCCACGGCAGGGGGGCTGGAACTTGATGAACTTAAGGTCCTTTCCAACCCTAACTATTCTATGATTCTATTCCATGATTCTATATGTCCATTACAGCACAGACTGTGCCAGTTCTGAATTCAACCTCACCTTTGCTTCTGGAGGAGAAAGGGTATTCAGAGAAGGACTGGTTAGACTAACTTAACAATGATTTTATTTGGGAGCTAAGCATATGAGAAATAAGTAGTGCTTCTTGCAAAGAAAGCAGTTTGATCAACAGTGGGTAAAGAGACAAGCAAGAATCTAGTGAGCATGCTGCATTCTCGGAGTCTGCAAAGCTGTTTGCCTCTTTCCCTGGAGTAGTCTACAGAGCAGGGCTAAAGGGTACATTCTGCCATTCCGAGAGAATAGCCTGACCAAAACTTCAGAAAAAAAGAGAAGAAAGAACTCCGTGACAAAAGTAGAGGAGATGGGGAAGACTGAGAAGGAACCAATTCTGATGACAACGAGAACATCTCCTTACCAGGATGATTAGCAGTTGAAGAAATGTTAAACAGCGTTAGGGAATAGAATCATTAAAAGCCTCTCCAATGTTCTTTCAAGATCAGAGGCTTTAGTAGAGGTGGAAAAAGTGCTAATTGTCTTTTTTTTGTGTAAGTGCTTTTACAGCAGCAAGCGCCTTCCAGGCCCTCAGGGCATCCTGTGTTGGTACAGCCCTGCCTAAGCTGGTCTTGTAATACTGGAGCTGCCAGAGACTGGCTCGGAGCAGAGAGAGATCTCCCCCTCCCCTCCCTGTGCTTTTGAACATAAGAGTATAAGGAGATCACGGATTCTGGAACAGAGATAAGGCAGCACTGTAGAAATATCTCTAGGAAAGCAGTAACTTCTTCCCCATGTTCAGAAAATAGCAACAATTTTTAATGTTTTGCTGCACAACTGCCCAGCACCACAAAGTTGATTTTGTAAGGGAATCTTTCACAGCAAACCAACAGTGTAAAGGGGACCCTCTACCAATTGTGAATTGAATTTAGGCAGGAAAGGTGTATGTTTGCATTCCCATTACAACTTCTCTGCAGTGACGGAGTGGTAAGAAGACTATATATACATCAAGTCCTAATTCTGTTTTTCAGTGATTCACACATGTATTGGATTTTCTCCTTAAACCAGCTAACCTTGACTGGTGCTTGACAGCAGCAGCATTTTACTTTTTGAACCTTTGTTCCTGCGGGAATAATTATTAGCTAACAGTACCTCCAGACCTGTTAATGTTGAATTTGAGTCCCTGCTTTGCCTGTGGGAGAAGCCCGAGTCCTACTGAAAAAATGAGCGGTGCCCTTAAAATGTTCTTAATTTAAAAACTGCATTTTCTCTCTGTATCTCCTCCTTTTTGCCCTTATTCTTTCCCAGAACAGGGTCTCAGAATCAAGAGAAAATAACCTTTTAAACTGTGATGACAAGCCATGCAATAAAGTGAATTAACCTGGTATAACAGAGGAAAGATTGACTACCATGGTGTGAACAGCTGAAGGACAGATGAGGAAATAAAAGAAAAAATATATTTGGAGTTTGGGTATAAGATGAGAACTCTTCTATTCATCTGTTTGATTCATTTTTTGCAAGACTGACATCACTTTATGTACCTAAGAAAGATGGCAGCTCTGTGATCATTAACTGCTGGTTAAGAAGGGAATTTGAGAAATAAAGAAACCAAAAATATATGCATGTATTTTAAGCTTCCCAAGTTACTGATACTGTGCCTACTATCTTACCCATCCTACCCATTACTCATAAATAATACCTATGTCTGTATATACTGCCACAGACCAGGGGAGGGGAATATGCCTGGCTGAGACAGTCTAGCCTGTCATCTGCTGGGTGGTCTGCCTATTGCAGAATCTAAAGATGTGCAGAGAAATGGAAGCACAATTGCCTGGATGCGTCTGTGTTTCTTTCACCCTGGCTTAAGTGCAGAATGAAAGTCCAAATGGTTTGGAACCGGTCCCATGATGTTCACAGCTCAGTATCTGGGCTGAGGTTTTCTTTAGTTGAGTGTTCAGTACTCTCTCATACTGGCCATTTATCTGCCTATCTTCTGGCTCCAGGAGACAGTTTCTTTCCCCCGTGCATATGCCAGGAATTCAGTACACATACGAAACCAGTCTGATCATTTTCTCTTGCAGCAGTCCAACAGGCTGGGAAAAGGGCCAAAGAAATTTAAAAGGGAAAACCAGAAAACAAGACAAATAAATGAAAAGGCCAAGAACACTTAGGGATTCATAATGCCAAAGCAAGCAGCAGTGCTGATGGCACAGCTGGCACATATCAGATAACAACACCAGAAGTAAAAAGGTCCTCAGCAGCCAGCACTCGTCTGCATGTCAGCAGGCAGCAGGCACTCTGCCTACAAATAGGTTGGTGGGCTCTGCTCCTCTTCCAATCATTCTGCTGAAACAAAATGGATGATCTTCATTCCTGCCAGCAGTACTGTCGCACACCCCTGGGGAGCATGGGCAGCATGGCTTTCAAGGCACAGGGAGCAGGAGCCACCTGCCTTCCACACTCACTGCTCCTTGGCTCAGTTCAGCCCTGGAATGTGTCACTTGATAGACCTTGTAAGTTCAGAAGCTCTTTAATTTTGACATGGTGTTAAGTTTATTACAACCTGGTGAAATGAGTCACTACCAAATGCATAGCTCTACCCTCCTCCTCCTTTCCCACATGTTTTCATGAGCAAAGTGAAAAGTTTAACCTTTCAAATAACAGTCTTTTTAAAAAATGTGCAGTGCTAGAGCTATACAATATATCCATGGTATGAAGGGATGCAGTTCCAGGGTAAGTACTGCCTTTAGCTAGCAGTAACAAATCACAAGCCCTTTCAATGAAAGCCCAATTTATTAAAAGTGCTGTTGTGCTGGGGAGGGGACAGCAAACCAAGGTAATATAAAAAACCTAGGGCTTGCTACTGCAGAAGTACCGAGACCGCTTGAAACCTGAGTATCCCAGAAACTTTTGTTTTAATAGGGAGCTGAAGAATTTAACCCTTTGTAGAATCTGTGCAGAAATTTTTTATCTATGATATGGCCTCTATCGAATGGCCTCAAAGAGTTTCTAGCTGGGATGAAGTCTCCAGACTGATGTTTTTGCTTTTTATTTTGAAGAATTCAATTGTGTAAATTTGTTGCAGATTTGTTCCTTCCAAGACTTTTATTATGGCCAGTGACTGTTTTTCAAGTCACCTGAAAAATCACTATTTATGACAAGATACTGCCAGATAATACTTACTCGTTTCTCACAGCTGGGTGGGGAAGTATTTTATCCTGACATAGGCGTGTATTTAGGCTCCACTATCTACTGCCCTTGGGATTAAGACTGTAGTCCAAAAGGCAGGTATTTTCAGTTTTTCAGTTGAATTACAGTAATGCATTTGCAATTTTATCCATTAAGTTCAAAGATACCATTCTATGCTTGTTAAAAATTGGCAGCCATCCTCAACTTAATGACATCTTTCCATCGATTTCAATGGCTTTTGGATCAGGCCCTCACAATGTAGGGTATGTAGATTATTATTTCTTTGTATTACCCTGAACAGTGAAGTATAATATTCTGTGAATGCTTTACTGAGGAAAGAGGCACAATAAATTACTGAATATGACTTATGAAAGAAAATCTTTGCCCTGCTTCAATAGGAATCTGAGATTTTATGTCTAAAGCACAACTGTTCAGGTGTTAAGGCTCAAAGAACTCCTGACCTACAGCCACAGAAATTCAGCTGTCAGTGAATTGTACTGATACAGAATGAAAGGATCTGACCTTTTTTCCAGGTGTCTCTTGGTTCATATACATTAGATAAGCACCCATATAGTGAGGGATCCTGATCAGCAATTCATCTGCTGCCTTGAATCATACTGCCTGCTACCAGCTCTAATCATCTTTAATTCCCATTAGAACATGTGGTGTATGTATCATGAACTTGGCTATAGTTGGAGAAATTACTTATCACCATGAGAATTGAATTTTCCACTCCACCCTTTAGGCTTTTTGTGTGTATGTTTCTGATACGCAAGGAGGCTGAGGCTCATTTTGAGCATTTTCTACTTCCAGATTACCTGGGAGAAGGGCTAAAGAAAAATGCAGAGTATTACTGGGGTGACTGGAGAGGACGGCTGCATTGTACCTAAAGGCTGTTAGAGCAAATCCTGGGAGACTAGGATGCTAGGTGCCAGTCAGAGTAATCCTGCTGTGTTCTCAATAAACATGTGAATTGCTTGACAGCGTTGTACCTCACACAGGCCAACAAAAAGAAGAGTTTAAAATTTAGGCCATGCTGAAAAACAAAGGCAGGGAAGGAGCTGACAAAAGCAGCCAGATTAACCTTGTTGTGCCATTATTTTGTAGCATGCTACTGAATGACATTTCACATGCAGCTTTTACAACCATCTTTGTTAAAGATTATGTTCTTCCTGCCTCCAGTTGTCTGAGTACGCTGTTTGGTTAGTAGACCTATTTTGTGATTTTTTTCTAATGAAAGTTATGTATGTATAGTTATAGACATGCTATATAATATAATCCTACAGGAATGTAATAACTAAACTTACATAAGGTGTTAAAGACTTTAATATAATTTGCATATGAAGTCAGCAGAAATTTCAGGGTCTCTAAGACTTCTCTCAGTCATGTTTTGGAGATTTCTGCATTGTGGTTGAGGAGCTTATCTATTGAAATGTTTAGGAATAATTGATTTAAATGTATTCTGGTACTTTTTTCAGTGTTAGAGACTCTGTGTACTCACTGGGGAATAGGAAAGTCATCCATGTGAATGAAACCAGCTGAATCACAACTCAAATCAGGCAAATAAGCCAGGTGAAGGCAACTGATAAGGAAATGACAGGATAAAAGATGATGATTAAAAAAGGAATCACTGTCTGGGCTGTCTCACAGAGCACAGATGTTTTAAAGCTAGGGCAAGAGGGGAGGCAAAAGAAACTTGAGAGGTGGACATTACTGGAAGGAAGCAACCAGAAAGACGTGGCAAGTGAAGAGGTAAGGGTGATTAGGACAGTCTGGGTAACTTTGCAAGCCTTAGCAGAAGCCTCATAGTACACTCTCTTAGGCAGAACAAAAAGAACAACAGCAACACTTAGTGACAGAATAGGGAAGGACAGTTAAGGGGAAAGGATGGGACGAAAGGAAGAAGTCTTATCGCCACTTTAAGGAAAAATAAATTGGGAATTCCAAGTGAAAGTTGTGGTCTCCATATACTTTTGCACCTGATACATGGCAGGCATCAGTCATGCAACTCGCTGGAAAGCACAAGAAAGTTTATAAGCTGCTCAGCAGGTGAAATGGATAAGAAACTGAGGGCTGGTAAAATGAATTCAGCTATTAGTTATTTTTTCCTTTAGAAAGAACAAGAGAATGGAGTTGATAGAAAAATGCTGTAGACCCAGAAGTGTGCAATCCAAACTCGTCTGTGGCTGTGTCAAATGCAAATCTCAATACATCTTTTTAAGGATTATGGTTATCTGTAATTTGGCAAGGCTTTTTCCCCCTTAAGAACACAGCTATGTACACAACCTAAAATTATTTTTCTCTTAAGCTGTAAAATAGCACTGACACGCTACACTACTATATTTATACAAAATGCTGCCCTGTGTTCAGATGAAGTGTTCCTGCCATTCCCCTTGCTGCTGTGTAGAATTATTAAAGGATTGTATAGACAGAAACACCAAAATCTTAAGAGTGTTTGTTTCTTCATGGCCATTTAATGAAGATACTCTCATTTATTATTCATGGTTGTCATCCATGTAATAGAATACGTGTGCACAGTGAATTTCAAACTCATGATAGCACACCTGCCAACTGAAGCTTATGCGTTGTTTGAGCAAATGTGGTTATGAACAGTGAGGCTTTGTGGACAAAGTGATGAAAGAAACCACGTCTCTCTCCCGCCTGGGCTGCCTTAGGGACCGTACCCAGCTGCTGCTCCCTTGTCATGTTTGTAACTTGTGCACCCAGCTCCCTTTATCCCATACAAATCCCTACGAAACGCGTCCGTAGTGACCACCAGAGGGACCCTTCACACTATGGCACCTTAAAACACAGAGCTTATTTGAAAGATTTATTTATAGCCTGGCCTAAACAACAGAATACTGCAGTAGGTCACTTCCTAAGCTTTCCCAGAAGGAATCTTACCGGTAAAGCCTGGCCTGCAGCTACAGATGTACCCCTCAGCCTGGTCGTAGCTGAAGGCTGGCGGCAGGCCTGGGATGCTCCCATAGTAGTGGGTCCAGGAGCGCTCCACACAGTCACCCCCAGGGAGGCAGGGGCTGCTGCTGCATTCCTCGATGTCCTCCTCGCAGCGGGAACCCACATAGCCTGCCAAGAGCCATGAGGGGAAGGCATTCAATTAATGTGCTCTTCATTCATTCCAGACACAAAAATGCTATTCTGAATATATATTGTGAATATCAGAAATGCTTGGTTTCAGAATTTGTCATGTGCTAAAAGATTTCCTCTGCTTCTTGAAGGTGTGAACATTTCCTTGCAGCTCTCTGCCAGGGCTCAGCAGCAGGATATTGCTATGGCTATTCTGCATTATGTAGCTGAGCTTTGCTGTGCCGTACAGACTTCAGGGGTGTTTTTTGGAAGTAATGTGGAATCCACGTGGATAACAAGCCCCTGCATTGTGGTGTAGATATGGTCTCAGGCTTTGTAAAGTTTTCTTTCTTTTCTGCACCACCTGCCTATGAAAGAGGAGGTCGGAGAGTATAACTTAAGGTTTTCATAAAGTGCTTTACCTGGAGTTTGAAGTGCCACTTAACTCCCCAGTTTCCGGAAAATGCTAAGGGTTCTGCCATTCCTAATGCACCAAGAACTGTGTAGTCCAAGAACACTGTGGTATTAACTCCTCACAGTGAGCTGTGCTCCTGCATCCTCAGTAAGGATGCAGATGTTAAATGTTATAGAGAGACTTCTTGAAGTTAGTCCATGTGCTGGAAGACTCACAAAGCCTCTCGAGAACTCAGGTTCTGTGTCTGCAATGGGGATGTGGGAGCCTTTTCGCAAACAGCTGGATATGAAAACATTGCTGGTAGAGGAGAACACAGGCCAGCATGTTTCACCCTACACTGCTAGACGCAAGAACTTGCAGTGCTGAAGGAGACTAGTTTCCGAGTGTAACACCTAGCTTAAGTTTTATTCATAAACAAACAACATTTTGCATTGAAACATGAGCTTTTAGGTGGGTTTAAAAGTCATGTTAATGAAGACTAAAAAAGGGTCAGCTGCAGCAGTGATGAATGTATCACACAGGTTGACAGATTAAGAAACTAGGAGATGGCTTCCAACTTTGACTCGTCTCCTATCTTGATTCCCTAATACTGGCACTTTTGGTTTTGCCCAGTTCTGCTGTGCAGGGAAAACAATCCTTAGCTGAAAAAAGACAGCAACTTACCCACAGGGCTCTGACTCATGATGAGTGAAGCCCATCTAAATACAAGCCCATAGAGTATTTTAAGATTAGGTAGCTTCAACCATTAATTGTATTAGACAAAAAAGAATACTCAGACCGAAACAAAACAAACAGAAAAAGCTATATCTACCACACAAGGAATGAGAGCATTTAAATAACTTAGAGCCTACCTGGCCAACAATGGCATGTGTAATTGTCAGTGTTGTCCTCACAAGTGCCATTATTGTAGCATGGTTGTGACCAACATAAAGGAGTTAGGGTCTCACAGTGTAGGCCCATAAATCCAGTGCCGGTGCAGTTACAGCTGTACCTGCAACACAGAATGCAATGTTCACTCTTAACTGGAAGTGAGGAGGTCTGGGCTTTGTTCCCAAACATGCACAGGCTTCTTGTGTAGTCTTGGCTAGCAGCTTGTACAGTGGAGTCCAGGCTCGAGACCATCTGGTGCTCCAGGAGAAAATGCAGAAATTGGGAATTAACGATGAGCTTTTTCCTGAAATATGTGGTTTTGTCTGGGGAAAAAAACCTGCTTGTGAATTCAAATTGGTTTTGACAGATTATTTTTTCTAAGAATTATTGATTTTTATTTTTTTTATTCTCTTCTTTTGAAAAATTTTTGGAGAAAAAAAAATTCTGCAATTTCCAATGTGATTTTTGTAGGCTTAACCTTATCCACAAAATGAAACTGGGAGAGGTACAAAGTGTGTTAGTATTCTTTTCTCTTGGACTGATAGAAATTGAAACAGGCGTTGTCTGTTTCTTGACTAGGTGATATTTTCTGTTTGATGAAAACCACTATTTTATTGTTAGGTTAGAACAAAGATGTCAATTGCTTCATATTTCCAATAATAACAGTAAACCAATCTTCTTTTTGATAGCATTGTTACTATGATGGGTTTAGAAGTAAACTAACTGGTATATATAAATGAATAATGTGCAGTTAATCAGTAAGGTCTGGGGTTTCTGTTTGTGGGTATTTTTCAAGAGAACTGGCTATAACTAGCTAGATATAAAATACATAACTCACATGCTTAGATCATAAGGTGTAAGGTCAACTTATTTGTGTCATAAGAAACAACAAGTTTTTGTATTAAAATAATGTTAAATATGTATGCCTGGTTAATCTTTGTTTAATGATTTGAAACAAAAAATTATTCTTATATTGCTTTAAAATGATACAGTGGTTATTGTATAATTGAAATCATGGGGAATCTTGCTGAACAAGTGGTAAGTATACTTATTTGATAATGTCTGTGCTTAATACCTAAGAGTTGGAATAAATATGTGGAAAGAAAGCATAACTGGTGACCATAAGAGAACATCAGAGAACTGACTCATGCAGTTTAACAGACCAAAAAGCGTAAGTGTTTTACTACACTGGTTAAGTGTACATAAGCAGAAATTTCTGGCAGGACAGTTTATTACTAGAGTATGGATTATTCTTAAATCAAAATCAGAGATGGCTTAGGCCAGGTGGCATTTGAATTTAGGGTATAAAAAGTAATGAGGAAGATGTGAATCAGAAAAACAATTTTAATTCCAAGGTATGTTCTTAAAGCAGAAATCTTTTCTTCTGCTGTATTTTTCACACACTTCCTCTATGCGCCTTCAGTTTGGTGCTGTTCAGCTTTGTGGGGAAAGATTTTTTTCTGCCTTAGTCCAAGCTTCTTTTTCCCTTTGGTCCAGAATCATGGAGAAGTTAGAAATATTCACAACTTGCTGATTAATGTGAAGCCCCACCTGTGTGCCTTTTCTCTCTGGTATCTTTACGTGTTTGACATTGCTGTGGACCTTAAAGGATTCTGGACGGTGCCCTGCTTATGGGCAGGCTATGACTGAACAGGCAGATGCCACCTTCTAGTAAGAGCAAACAGCAATACTCTTAGATACTCTACCTAACATATTCTGGGGTTTCTTGTTTGATGTTCTCACAGTGCGCAGAAAGCAATACACGCAGGTATTCTTTCCCATGCAATCAAAAGAACACTGAAGGTCCTGGGAATATTTCCAATGAAAAAAAAAGAGTTGGAGCATGCAGAGGTATCCTCTGTGCCTGTGCACACCAGGTTTCGTAGGTCCGAATAACGTACTTCTGTAAGTTGTTGATTTTAAATCAGAAATGTCCAATAATGTGATCTCTTTTTGTAAGAGAGCAAGTTCTACTTTGTTGAATTACTGAAACATCACTGATAGATCAGTCTGAAATTTGGGAGAGAATTTGTTTTGGTGTTTGTATTTATGGTTTTTATTAGTGCTAAACCTTGCACATTTCTGAGAGAGCTGATGGCACACACACAAAAGCCTCAGCTATACCGCAGCATTAGTCAGAAAAGGAAACTACAGTTAAAGACTACAGTTCTTCATTTAACCCAGAAAAACACACAAAAGAAAGGAAATTGTTAGGCACCCTTTGGTTTTGAATTGCTTTGCTGTCTAACCCTTTTCATCATGTAACAAATGCAGTAAGAGCTCCAATCGCTCTCCAGATATCCTGCAGTATTACAAGCCAATTAAAATTGCTTTTACATGTACCTCAGCTTCAAAAACTAGGAGAAAAATGAGGATTAAATCTGGCCTGAATGAGCATCCCGGTTGCTCACCTCATGCATGTATCCTCAAAAGGCTCGCAGGTTATTAAGTGTGTCTGCTGTGAACTAGTCTGGTGCAAGGTGACCTCCCTCTCCCTGCTGTCATGCTTTAGCTACACTGGAAAATAGTAAATTGCTTTGTCCTGTTCAGAGTCATTCAGTGCTGCTGAAAAGGAGCTCCACAAGGCTGGTGCCATGTCAACACAATGTACTCATTCCCAGAACACGATCTTTTAACCCCCTCATTCAAGGCAAGCACACCTTTTGCTGCCGTGAATTTTGGACTGATTTTTGGGGAACTAAGATCTTCAAAACTGCTTTATAAAAACCGGAAAAATACACAACAGAGGACAAATCATACTGGTGAGAGGAGCACCTGCATGGATACGTTTACAAACTTTCCGACTCAGCTTATATGTATGTATTTTCAGTTTGGGAATCTCATGCTGAGTATCTAAAGCCATTACTGGTGAATGAATGCCAGAGCTCTGGCTGCCTGGGCTGTGCTCTGACCTCTGTGTAAGGCTATTAACAGTAGGTGGAGAAGTTCACTTTGCTATTGGCTTGTATTCTCTTTAATTTTTCTTCTTTGTCCATGGACTGCAGGTTGTTTTGAATAATGAGCTGTTTTCCTATATGCCTGTAAAGTTCCTGACACATTTCCTAATGGTATCTATTACTATGGTTACTACAGTTTTCCTCTGCCTCTCTTTTCTGATGCTTCTGTCTGTCAGTGTGGGCAGCTGCTGTTGGTAAATTCAATTTTATACACTCTCACGTCTCTCTTGGAAAATAAAGTTTGACAAGTGTTAGAAGAAGAATTCACTTTTAAATGACAATCCTCATAGCCAGAAACACAACACATTGCATATGTTTTTAAGCATAAATGTGAAAAATGTACTTCTTGGTCAGTCTTTGCCATAAATATTTTGTTGTCCTATTGGGTCTGAGACCAGACTTGCTTTATTTAATCTTTTTCAAATTTAAACTGAAATCGGTGCAGGATCAAGGAGTGAAATCCACAATTTGAAGTGAAATCAGCTACCTGGCAGTGCAGGCTCTCATAGCATTCTCATCTGTGAACAGAGGAGCTGATAGCACCTCACGCGAGTGATACCCAGCTGTAGAAGACATACCCGTTGGCCTTGTCCAGGCACTGTCCCCCATTGAGGCATGGCTGGCTGACACACTCATCGATGTCGGTTTCACAGAGGTCGCCGAGGAAGCCCGGTGCACAGGAGCAAGAAAAGCTCCTGATGGAATCATGGCAGGTCGCGCCATTGAGGCATGGCTGTGACGAGCACTCATCTATTTCCAGCTCACAGTTTGTACCTTCAAAACCAAAGAAAATGAGCAAACCCCAAATGTAGGAGATAGCTAGTTTTGAAGATCTCAGCAAGGACCGTTTTAAGTACAATATCCACATAATCTTTCTTTCTTCAGCAATTGCTTATGTTTGAAAGGCAGCTCTCCTCAATGTGTACTGCAAGACTAGTTTTTCAGGGTTTGGCAGTTTACAAAAGAACAAGCCAGCTGTTATGCAAAAGAATAGTTAGAATAGCAACTTTTTATGTGAACTTGAACACGGAAACTGAACAAAAAATGTTCAGATTATTGAAACCATGCTACTGTCTTATAAAACACAGAAATAACTAGTAATTTAATGACCTCAGAAGAGTCTGTTTGAAGCTGCAGAGTTAATTGAATTCATTGGGAAGCTGTCTGTTTAGCTGCAGTTTATTGCCTTTTAAGATTTAGCTACATGTAAATAAGTTGGTTACGATGCTGTGTTTGCAACAGGTCAAAATCTTGGAGCTGCTCTTCAGAGATAACTGCTGGACCTTTATCAGTTTTAATATTAGATTACAGCTATTTAGGATAGTTTGCATGTTAAATTTGCACTCCTTTTATCTCTAGCACAGTCCAAGAAATACTAAGAAAAATGTATAATTAATGCCTTGCAGGTCCTGCTTTGCTTCTATCAGGGGTTTGTATGCTTATGCACCTACTTAGTGTTTTGAGTAATAAAGTGACTTTTAAGTAATAACTTTTATTCGCTAATCAAATTTCTTTTAACAGCTACAGTATCTGCCACAACCCAGACACAAAATGGGAAATTATAATGAAGAAACTTCATTATATATGTGGACTTCCCCATCTTTATTTGGCTTACCAAGGTAGCAGTAGTATTGTAAATAGTTTCCAGGGGAATTCTCTACTTGAAAGAGAGTCTGCAGCCCTGAGAATGGGTTTAATTTCTTTGGAGGATGAATTTTTCAGTACAAGACGATGGAGCAGGCTTTCAAAAGATGGCAACAGCCAAGTTTTGATTATGGGTATTATCTTCATAACTAATTTCAGAGCTCACCTCTAATTCTTTCTTTATGCTGCTTTAGCCAGCCACAGTCCTGCTGTGAGATTTGTACATTCTAACTTGGAATATCTTTCTGACAGTCTTGACTGAGATTGCTAATACTTAGCACTTTTACTAAGTTACTAATTTATTTTGACCTTTTCGAATGTAGCATCTTTATTTAAAAAAAAAAAAAATTAAATCCATATTAAGGATAAATATCTGGAAACATTTTAGAATGAAAAAAAAAAAAATGGAGCACGTTAACTTATATTTTTCATTGTATTTAAACATTAAAGTGCAAGTTCATCTTTCCAGCAACAAAAAATACTACTGCTCTAATTTCAGACAACACATTTTTATAGTTCCCTGAGACTACATATAGAACACTGGATGGGAGAAGTCAATGATCCCATGCCTTCAGTTTAAGGTTCACTGATCAGCTAGCCACTACTTTCAGTGGGAGCCTATCACGAGACCCTAGCACAGGAACGCTTTCTTATGGCTTTATGGTAATGTACATTATATCCAGATATAGTAAGCAATCCCTCTGTGGTCATTGCCCTGTGAATTCACTGTAATTATAAACAATGTGTTTGCAGAATTATGTCTAGTGACCGTAAATCTGCCAGAGCTTGTTAACAGCTTACTGCGAACACTAAAAATCATGTGACAAAACAAGCCCTGTTCAACTGATCCTCGGTTCAGCCAAATTTAAAACTACAGGCCTGAGAACAGCCTGACAATTAACATGAGAACATAGCGTTGTTGTTTTGGTTCATGTCTTTAATCTATCAAGCCCAGTAACCTGCCTTTGGCAATGTTGCCTCAGAAGGAAACTTCTCTCTGTATAATGCATCCAGCCAATTCGATATGCCATGCAAACAGGGGAAATTCCTTCCTTAGCCTCTACTGCATCTGCTGTCAGGCTTTCTTGTATGTGAAAAAGAGAGATGAAAGGATTAGATCTGCATTTTCACCTCAGTCTAACATTCTGTCATAAATATGCTGTATGCCAATTATCATATGCCAAAAAGGAAAAAGAGCACCGACCAGCCCTGCCACAGTTATTGCATGGGACTACACCATCAAGAGCAAAGGCTTTCCGTCCTAGAGCGGGCTGAGTATTTCAGCAGGTAGGAATTCAAACCACACAGGTGGTTTGAATTGAAAGACTGGGAAGGTAGATATTACTGTTATTTACAACTTTTGCAGTTTCTTTGAAGAACTAAGATTATTTCTTATACTGCTTGCTTTTCAAATGAATCCTACTATGCACTTTTGTACAGCCACAGTCAATAAAAAGTAAATGGAGGCGAGGATGAATGAAATACAGCAAATACTTTCAAACTTGCATGCCTACAGGTATATTGTAAGATCACCTTCTGGTCAAAGATACCAGGGGCTTGCAGGCTCAGTGTAGTTCCAGGAGGACCTGCATGTTCTTAGTACAGCTGGAAATTGGTATGCAGGTCACCCCTTCTGCTCTCCTGTGCTGTAGTGCTGTCCCCAAATTCCTCAATCTGTATACAGTAATGTTATGTGCCATAGACTGGATCAAGTGTCAGACAGCTATTTTCTAGGCACCAGCCTTGAAAGGATGTGAAGATTGTTCATCAGAAATTAGACAGAGTGAAGAGGTCAGTTTCTTGGAGCAAGGCTCCTCTTTTTTGAGCCCAGGCCTATGCTAACCACCATGCACAGATGTAAGCTGTTACAGGTCTTGCAACACTGCACTATGCAGACACAATCAGGAGAACAGCAGGGCTAAACCAAATCAAAGGTTTCAGCAGCGTGGAGTTACGAACTGCAACAAGCACACTTTGCATGTACCTGTGCGCTGCTAATCTTTGTTTTGAAAACCCTTTGACGTGCAGCAAATACTGCTGGGCTCCTCCCTCATTGCAGTCTTGCGTATGGGAATCTCGTCAGAGCTGGTAACCTGCGTTGAATCCTCTGTGAGTCTGGCTAGGGCACAAAGTTAGGAGTGCTGGTTTGAAACTTGAAAGTTGAGGAAGGAAACCAGCTTTTCGCTTTGTTGGCAATTGTCATTTGATGGGCAGTGGTGTTTGCTATCAGTATCCACAATGATATTGCCATGAACTTGCTGGGAAGAAAGATGTGTACTTGAGATACTTCATCCCATTGTAGAGGCTGCTGAGCCCCTGCTTGCCTTTAAGTGCCTAAGGCTTACGATGCATCTACCCTAAATATTTTCATGGTGTATGCATGATTGATAAGACTAATGCATGAGAACTTATCAGGAATAATTTCTTCATATTGTAGAGAGCTCATCCCAGCTATGGTTACATCATAGCAAAAGGTATTGCTCAAAGTATGAAAATGGCTCATTGCACCTATTTTGTCTTCCACTGAAACACTTCCTCCTGCTGTTGTTTTGGGCTAAGACTGGGTTTTGGATCTGACATGTACCCCTGATAGTTCACGCTAACGTGGTTGTTGGCAATGGAGAATCCACTTCAGTTGTGTCCAGCAAGGCAACTAAAGTACCTAGAGGTGGGTAATAACAGGCTCTTACATCGTGCTCTGCTGGGGTGAATTAAAAACAAGTGCAATTAGTACAATGGTGGAAAAAATGCATTTGATTAAGGTCGCCAGGAAAACTTCAACAAACCAATTGAGCTTCATTATTTAACAGCTGTGTGACACATGTCTTGTAAATAATTTAACACATGCAGAACATTATCATAGAAACTGGATTTCATGCTAAATTTTCCAGTCTTTGGCTCTTGGTGTGTTCTAACCTCTTCCATTTGTGTAAGAATTATGTGTGACATTTCTCAGCTATTTTCAGAAGTGCTGCAGCATACCAGTCATACAAAATAGCAGTCATAGTCCATGAAACAAGTAGCAACTGCAGTCAGTAACTCCAGCATTCGGTTAACATTACTGCCATAGATTTACTGTACATTATCTACCTACATACCAACAGATATAACCTTTTTAACATCTTAGGGAAATGAGATGAGGCTGGATGACTTCCCACAGTAATTCATGGTGTCAGGCCAGGATAATAATGGTTGGCAAGATCCTCTGATAGAGTAAATGAGGGGTTTTATTACCAGTGGGGACACCTCAGGGCTTTCATCCGGTAATCCCTCTGGCTTGTGCATTTAGCACAACTCACAGCAAGGTGCAGAAAACAACAAGAAAGAATGCTTCTGATAAATCATTTTGTTAAGTGGCCTTTAAAAGCTGGTGTTTTACTGCAGAAGGAATAGTCTGCGACTCTATAGAATTCTTATGATTAGTCTCTCTGCTGCTGGAAGCAGTGTCAGAACTGTATGTCAAAACACTGCGGCCTCTTTGTGTTTTACACCTTTTCTCCTTCCTTGGTTCTCTCCTCATTTCTTAGCTCCTCTTGTGCCCAGTGTGGAGTACGTGGTGGTGTTGCTTGATTCTGGGTGAGAGCAGAGAGCATCGGCCTGGGAAACAGCAGAATTTCGTGATGAAAGTGAAGCAGTTCAAACAGAGAGAGTTACCTCCAGCAGTTTGTGTTGATCTAAATCTTCATTTCATTTTGTTTGGGCTTCATTATTTTATTATGTTTTCTCTAATTTTGTCTCTAAGTTTTATATTCTTTCTCTTTCAAACAGAGTTCCCTGGCTATGGATCCAGGCCTGGACCCCAGTTAAATAAATACAGTTTCCTGAATACGACAGGAGGTCTGGGCTGAGTCTGATCATTGCAGAGTAACCATGCTGGTTGTTAATAGGTTTTTCCTTCCTTCTGCTCTTCAGCTTTCCTCCAGTTGTGTAGTGGCTGGCCTGGGCTCAGACACCCGCTGGCAGCAGCAGGGTGGTGGGAAGGTAACAAGCTTCCTTCAAATAACATTCTCTGTACTCATGAGGGATATTAACCAAGGGCTGGCTTCCAACAAGTGCTGTGTCAGACACAGGAAAGCTGCTTTTTACCTCTGACTTCCCCTCCTGCATGGGGATTTGGGGATGGAGCTGTAAACCACATCTCTTATTTCTTATTCATTTGAATCACTTGAAGCAATAGCTGGGGTTTTTCTCTATTTTTGCTCTATGACTCTTTTTATTTTTTATCATTTTTTTTTTCCCCTTTGCTTACCTGACTGGCAATCTACCACTAAAATGCCTCCCCTTTTCTCCTTTTAATGATTCAGTGTGCTACATCTTGCAGTCCTGCCCCTGAATACAGCTTTGAAATTTGAAGGGAGCTGTTTCCTGCAAAGATTCTATGTCCTCCAGCAGAGGAAGTAGGCAATAAAAATCATACCTGTACTTAAAAATGGAGCCACGTAAAATGGGATTATCAAAAAAATCTTCAGTTTGGCAATCTGATAACACTTTTCTATTCTATTTAACTTACATAATGTTCTAGTTGCAAACGTGTCCTCTATTTCTAGGAGGGGCAGACAAGAGGAGAGTAATGCGTAACATGTAGTTTTAAGAATACAGTTTGTTGTGATTAGCAAAACATGCAAATCTAATTAGATCTAGTTCTTAACCCTATCAAACAGAGGTTTTATCTGAGGACATACATTTTTAAAATGTTTTTTTTAAAAAAAGGAATGTTAACCTGGCCCTGTGACATAGCTTTATGTGCACAAAACTGCTCTGCAGTTCTCAGTAAATGTGAGATTTCTGTATTCCTTCTCGATGTAATATCAGTAGTTCACAATGATAAGGTAACCTATAACGTACCAGCAGCCACTGTGCTAAAGCTGAAGGCAAGGTAGTAATAGAGACATGACTAAATATGTAGGTGGGTGAGTTGAACTTGGAACACGAATTATGATGGTTCTTCATGATGCAAGTAAAAAGTTGTTTTAACAGTGCTTACCTGTGTACCCAGGTGGACAGATACAACCATATTGTCCTATCTGGTTGAGACATGTTGCCCCATTCAGGCACGGATCTGACACACACTCATTCACTTCCAAGTCACAGTGCTTGCCTTGGTAGCCTGGGACACAGTAGCAGGAGTACTCATCAATCCCATCCCTGCAGACTGCTCCGTTGTGGCACGGTTCAGAAATGCATTCATCAAAATCCATTTCACAGAGTGTACCAGTGTATCCTGTGCTACAAAGGCAGGTGGGCCCAGCCACGCCATTTTGGCAGGTGCCTCCATGCTCACAAGGGTTTGTGTCACACATGCCGACAGCTCTTTCACAGGTAGGTCCATTATATCCAGCAGGGCACTCACAGGTAAAGCTGAGGTTTCCAGCAGAGCTTAAACAGGTAGCATTTTGAAGACAAGGGTTTGAGGAGCAAGGATCAGAGGTTTTATTGCAGAATTTCTCCACACTGTCCACTGATGCATCTGCACAATGGCAAGTATTGTCTTTATGACCAGGAACACATGTAGAGTTCTTTTGGCAAGAATTTGATAGGCACCTGGAGTCATTCCTCGTGCAAAGTGACTCTAGAAAGGAAACAAAAAAATCCTGAGGAATTCCTCAGCACTGGGAGTAACTAAGGATAAAAGAAGTGCAAGTCTTAACACAACTGTGCTTCAAAACAAATAGCTCCAATTGTTGGCTGTTGAGAAGAAAATGGATGGTAACTGTGTGAAACATATTAGTAAGCTAACTAATAAATGTAAAATGAAAGCAATTATGAAAATATAGGTAGTTTGTTATTTCCTGGTTTTCCATCTTCCAACAGCCATGGCCTGGAGTGTCAGGATTGCTTAACACTATATTGAGTACAGTTGCAAGAATATTGGTTGTCAACAGGTACCCAACAATGTGGAATGCATTTAGGTATATTTAAGACACTGTTTTTTTTTTACTAGAGAAAGGACTTAAACCACGTATTTCAGTTCAATACCACTCTGTATTCCTTTGTGGTGAAGTTTTCTGTATTAGATTTCAACAAAGCTGAGTGACTCAGATGAAGTTACAGCTCAACTGAGTGGTTCAAACCATCATGCACCTTGATTTTGACTTCCTGATTATAAACAGTAATTGGACAGCTGTACCCTATTTCCACCACAAAGAATCTCCCAAACACCTGAGATTCAAAATAGTCTTCTGAGAGCCTTCCAGCCTCTGAGGCTGTAAGGACATGGTGAACGTACTGTAAGCACGTTCCTTACCCTCCAGGAACTGAGCTCCTGGCAGCAATTAAAGACTACTTGGAGTTGTCTGGCTGCTGCAAAGACTGGCTGAGGATAACAATAGCTACTTCTCACATCCTAATCAAGGAGGAGGAAGCTGTTACCAGCATTGTTCACAACTCACAGCTGAGAAGCACTGATAACGTTAAAGCAGGGCAAGAAGTGAAAGAAGCTCTTTCTTTCTAGTAAAAGAAAACAAGAATTTGGCATGAAACTGTATCTTGGTTTGTTTTTTGTTTGGTTTTGTTTGTTTGTTTGTTTTTAACCGTGATTAATTGTCTCCATAATGAAAGAAATGGCTGTACTGAGATAAGCATAGCACACATAGGTAGGTATGCACCTGCTGTCTTGAATTTACTGTTAGGCATATTAAGCAGTTGCAACAAGGTTCCTAATACAGAATGCATGAAGTAGGTGCATTGGTCTGGGCTGAATCCTCTGCAATCACAGCTTCCTTGCCAACACCAAGTGAGCTAGACTGAAGCTTGCGTACTTTTACGTGTGCTATAATCAGGTCACCCAGATATGACACAGATGAAGAGTGCAATGGGGTTCTATTGATCACTGAATTCATCTGTAATATCAAGTTGCTTCTGTCATGATTTACCATTGTTTTGGTATGGGTCAGTAATAACAGTGTTAATCACCAGTACACATCTTGCAGCACTTGGGAATTTTGTTACATACAAAATGACTCAGGGCTGTGGAGATAATAAGACCCAAAGAGATGATTGCAAATGGGGCGTTTGCTCTATTTCTATCTTGGTCTAAAGGTCAAGCTTTTGAATGCTGAGAAGCTAGTGGAAGAAATCCTGGAGTTACCTCCAAATACTGTGCTAGTAAAATAAAATAATGGCGGATGAAAAGTCATAGACCATGCTTAATGAAGAGAAGAAAGGCCAATAGTTATTTACTGACAGAAACCACCTAGAAGATAAGGACCACAAATACTGACCTAAAAAGCCAAGTGCATGTATAGTATTTTAGTTCCTACTGATCAAATTGGAAAATCTTAGCTGGAGTATGATAAAAAAGAGTTGTATCCAGTAGAATTTTTGATTTTGTAACTGATTTTCACCATATTATAAGAAATCCTCTACTGAACAGTAAACATCTGAATGCCATCAGACTTCTAAGGTGACTGCAATGTGACATTACACAAAATATGAGGGTAAAACTGTAAACAAATATTTCGCATACTCCTAGAGAAAAAAGTTATTTGTACCATGGGAGGGGAAAAAAGCAGGCATATCTTGGCCAAGAATCTATGGAATAAAGCTGAATAGTCTTCTTGGAGAGAATGTAGTAATTCAGAAGGAAAGACTGGTGGGCTGGAGAATGAAAATTGCATGAAATGACCTATATGAGAGTCCTGTAAACATCCTGCTTTCTTCTTTCAGTTTATGTTTTCATTCTGGAGTCCTGTTTGGAAGTATGAAGGGTATGTCTTCTGCAGCAGTTACTTGAAAATGAATGGCAGGACAGTGTACTTTTGTGCAAAAAGGGTGTTGTGGATAAGCTGCGCTTCTTGAAGAAATTCAGACCTATCTACCATGAGTCTCTAATTTCTTCCAGGTTCTTGGAGCTGAGATTCAGAAGAGTGAACACAATAGAGAAGGAGATGGGGCACTGAAAGAGAAGCAACTTGTTGAGACGGTTATCAATAACTGGGGCTAGACCAATGATGATGAAATCCTCTGGTTGTCTGGGAAAGTGAGAGGCTGGGGCTGGACATCTGAGGATAACAGCCAACCACTGGCATTGTCAGAGAATACAAACTGAGTAATGCAGGTGCATTTTCATGACATATATTTTAATGACTAAAACAACTTAATCCATTTTTCCCAGGAAGTGGAGGAAGAAAGCCTCAGAAGGCTTTACTACTTAGGAAAGACAGCTTATGTAGATATGAAGCTATGATAATAAATGGAGATGTTAGAAAAGTTATCTGTGTTTCATCATTGTGCCTTCTGACTTGAGATGTACAGAGGAGCAGCAGTGCCTTTGGGAATAAAAATCCCAATCTGAACATGATGCTCATGAGTAGGTACACTGAGTCAAATAATTAATACTTGTTTGAACAAGCAGAATAGAGATTTATGTAGTAACATTGATAGTAACAGTGTCATAATTTAAAACCCTAAAGTTTTAAGGATTGCATAGGCATAGTTTCTTGATTGTTTCATTAGGGTTATGCATGTATAAGTAAAACCTGGAAATGTTTTTGTTCAGACTGTTTTTAGCTGTTGTCCTGATCATATATACCAGAGATGCAGAGGAGAAATATCTAGAGAAGGTATGGTTTTGGTAAAGATTAAGTTTATTTAATACAGGCTGTGACAGACCTGATTAAGAATGCAAGCTAAACGTGATTACCAGAAGGAGAACTGGAGCTTTACCTCATGTTCTTTGAAAGAAAACAGGACAAAAATAGCACCTCTGATTTAGACTGCCTTTAAAATGACCACCCCCAAACCAGTCAACATTCAGGTTTGCACTGGGAACAGATACTTCATCCTAATGTGATATCAGCTGTAATTCCCCCAGCATACATGTCTCACTGAATGCAAAATTAGAGACATTGGCCATGGTGTGTTGACTTACTCCAGTCACCAGTATCATGGACTTTTCTCCTCCTCAACACACCCCCATGTATGTTCCACTGTCCTGGTTTACACAATTTTCTGTATTACCTATGTATTTAGTTTCTTTAGCCTGGGTAATAAGGAGCTTTACTGCAACCTATTAACTACTGTTAAAATGAGAAAATTGCATTCTTTAGGAACTTTTGCATCCCACATTTTTCTTGGAGTTGCACAACTTTAAAGAGTTTTCAGTCTGTCTACTTACTTAAAATTCATCAAATGTTTGAAGAAACATTGCAAATCTGAAGACATTAACTACGATAAAGTTATGTTACCTAACTATTGTAGCGTGTAAACTACAAGAAGTGAGGTAAATCATCCAAGTCCTTCTTAAGTAGGACCACTTTGACACCAGAAGCAATTTACTTGATTATTACTGCTTTTCCAGAGATAATTTTCATGTAACAATTCAATTTCTTGTAATGACTGCGAGAGAAACTGAAGCATTCGCCAGTGCGTAGTTTTGATAGCAACATACTAGCTCTGAGCATGGGTTAAAAAGCTTCCTAGCTCTCTGGGGCAGTCATAGTGGATGGAAAATGAAGGAAAAGGCAAGAAAACCCTGAAAGCACAGCCTGTAGTGAAGGCAACCAATTTGTTTCCAAGGTGACACCACAATGCAAAAATCATGAAACAGAAAACCATTCCTGGATTTTTTTTCTTTAATTAGTTGTTGGGTTTTCTTTTTTTAATTTCAACTCCTCTAGCTTTTAGGAAACAAATTTCTTAGGTAGCAAATGTGAACAGATAGTTCAATAAACCCAGTACTCCTTAGAGGATGCTTTTGTCTGATCTGTGCTACAAGTTTACAGCAAAGCAATAAAGTTTTTGATGTTTTTATCTTCATTCTAATGTGCAGTGCCATGTTTTTTATTATTTGTATAGTTCTTGAGTTCTGAAGGTCTTAACAGAGATACAATCACTGCTGAGTTTTAACTTGTGATTTAAAGGCTAGGTCCAAGATTTTTTGCTAGAGGTGGTAGAGTAGTTTTGCCCCAGCAGCAAAACTCCACCTCAAAAAGGTGATCACCAAGCAGTATGCAATTATTATACTGTGGTTATCAAATGGTATGCAGTTTACCAGGACATTCCCAATATGGTTTTTTGATGGGTTTCAGGAAATCAGAAATTCAGAAAATCTTGGAGCCTAGATTGCTAGTTACAGCATCATTTTCTGCCTATTTGAGACAAGTTACTTATACTACCTCCCTTCCTGCCCCAAGGAAACTCAGTTTTGCTGCTGCTCTGGAATGATGTGAAGCGATATATTTTTGGAACCTCCTGAGCTATTGAGAGCTATGAGGAAGAAGATCATAGCATGTGGAAGCTGAACTCCCCCCATGCTCTGTAATGTGGTGTGGCAGGGTATGATCATGTCTGATGCAAAGGCTGGCTTAGTTTGAGCTGATGGCTAAAGAATATTCCCTAATTCATTTGCAGAAAGAGCTCTAAGAAAATGTTTCAGTGACTGGGGGAGCTTGTTTTTTGGTAAGGTTCAGAGAGAGAACCTGAAAAGGCCTCATGCTCTAGCTCAGATATGCAGAGAAGTTGCTTTCATTCTCAAACAATTAAGGTCACTTCAGCAGTGACTTGTTCTGACAGAGAGCCTTAAAACTTGTGTGTAATGTTAGAAAAATGGAAACAAAATGCCAATCACTT